CAGTGCGGCGCTCCCTCAGCACTGACCCTCCGACAGTGCGGCGCTCCTTCAGCACTGTCTTGGGGGTGTCAGGTGTGATTACCAGCCCGGGTCCCAGGACTGGGATTTAAATGAACATCTCTCTGAGCTAGAGGAGATACTACCACATACTGAGCCTTAGCTGAGTATCTGTGGCTTATTGTGAATGATAACCTGGTAGTTTGTGCAACAGCAGCTTTCTCTTACCTGAATGCGAAAGCGGAGGTGGCTGTTGGTTATCTCCAGCCTCTTCGATTGACCCTCCATCTCCCTGGTTCTTTGCTGCTCTTTCTGGAGCCTTTTGATGTACTCCACAGAGGCTTTCAATATCGTCCCCTTGTTCCAGCGAACGTCACTGCAAGTGCAAAGTTAAAAACTAAAAATCTACTGTGTCACAGCTGTTTAACACACCCTCAATGATCACCACGGAATAGTGTAGATGTAAATGTAAAGGAGCATCAGCAGTTCCATACTGTATGTCCCAGTAAGAGATAACCAGTTTTCTTTTGGGGCTGATCCAGATCCTACTAACGAATTTCCTACTTGACCTCATCAATATGGAGATCTCCAGGTATTCACTAATGTCCTGCAGGGAACTCCAGACCCTCAGCAACGAGATTGACTCTCAACCTCCCCCTTAAGTGGCCAATGCAACTGCTCAGTTAAAGGGAAGTTAGGGATGGGCAACAAATATTGACCTTGTCCGAGCACCCAGATCCCAGGAATAAATAAATAAATAAATAAACTCAAGGCTGTGAACACAACCAGATAACTGAACCAGAACATCATCACAGACCCTGTAACTGGGGGCAGTGGGGAGAGGTTGAAGAGAGCACAAACTGAATCTTAAAATGATGAGCGTGTGGATTGAATGTGACTAAGCTCTCTCTACTCCACAGGATAGCATACATCACCAGAAAGCAGGATATTAGTGCTCACAGTTACTCTGAAGCCCCAGCTCTCTCTCTCTGTGGCACCTCTCTTTACCCCTCTACTCTGGTCAAATTCTCTGTTCCCCTGACATCCTGGATGAGCACAAACTTACTCTGATTAAATATTGCAAAGACTGAGGCCAATATATGTTGGACCCTGCTTGAAATGCTGGTCCCTGGTTTCTAATCCATCCTGAGATGATGCCAAATTGTTTGAAACTGTGGTGTCATACTTGAGTTCCAAGTCACACCATTATAAGGATCACATTTTCACTTCAGAAATGGCTCAATTCCACTCTTGGCCCGTCAATTGCACTTCAGCCCATTGTAAGTTTTTCTTTTATTTATTCACTGGATGTAGGCATTTATTGACCATCCCCAATTGCCCAGAGGGCACTGCTGTGGGTTTGGAGTCACCTGTAGGCCAAGGACAGCAGTTTCATTCCCTAAAGGGGAACCAGGTGGGATTTTGCTAAACAACAGATAATGGCCATCCTTCAATTTTTGATTCCATATTTTTATTTATTGAATACAAATTCCACCACCTGCCATGGTGTGGTTCAAACCCATGTCCTCAGAACATTTCCAAGGTCTCTGGAATGATGGTCTAGTGATAGTACCACTAGGCTAGCATGCCCCTCTCCTGCTCAGCTTGCACAAAACTTGCTGTCTATATTTTAAATCACAGTAAGTCCCATCCCTTCAGTGCAGTACTTGGTGACCTCTATTGGTTCCCAGTCAAGCGAGGCTGATCTGACTTTTTCCTCCTCGTTTTCAAATCCCTCCATGAGCTGACCATTGAAAATGAATGACGGAAGATTTGTCTACTCACAGATCGTTGGATTTGGGGATAAGCATTCCCAACTCTTTTATTCGATCATTGATGTTAAACCTTCGCCTGCGTTCAACTTGGAAGAAAATTGAAACCAAAATGAGAAAAGAGAAAACAAAATAACAATGCAAATTATTTTCAATAACGTGTCTCTTAGTCAAACTGGCTCTCTATCCCTGGAGCTCAGGTGAGAGAGCTCAGAGGCAGTGGACAGATAAAGAGGCGAACAATGTGTTTCCACACAGCCACTATGACCCACCCAGGAGTGTGCAGAAACAGCAATCCCCTCTGGTCATGAGGAAATGCTGACCTCTAGCTCAATGCCTCCTATTGCTCTCACTAATAATCCTGTTAATGCATGGGGCCTCACCTGAAGCTGGCCTGGGTTCTGGGAATAACCCAATGCTTGGTGGAGGTCGAGGGGTGCTGGGAATTTGGCTGGAGGAGACAGGAACGAAGGCGAGTGGCTTGAAGGGGGAGGTGTTTCTATAAAGACAGCAGCATAAAGAGGGTTGTGGTCAGTAGGGCCAAGAAGTTAAGGCTGAGGAATGGATTGTCTTACATCCCAACAGCCCGAATCATCCTAAAAACTAAAGTGAAAAATGCTCACCTCAGCCTGTTCTGCACATCCCCTCTGCCTGTTCCTCCAGCATCCTATCACAGTCTGGCTCCCTGAGAAATTATATCAGCAAGCTGCAAGTATCACAGTCAAGGCGCAGCCTGCTTTCAATGGAAGCCTTGGTTGGCCGTGAATATGATGACGACAAAACATCCGGAGGGAGCAGGTTTAAGAACACCTCGGTCTTGATCCCACAAGTGACCACAGTCAAAATGAACCCTTTCCACACACACCATTTCCATCAGCTGCAGGTTAAAATTAACCTCACAGATTCCGGCTGGCTCCCCAGGACTGACGCAAAAGGGTAGGAGTTGAAGGAACATTACTCACTCAGGTTGTGATTATCTTTCTTCTGTCGCTCTTTAGCCAAAGCCCGTGCTTCTGCATCTAGCCAAAAACAGACAACCGATCACAATAATGTCACATCTGCTACTTACATGTGATAGCACAGCTCTCCAGACCAGTCTCAACCTGTATCACCGTGATCCCTGGGTCAAACTATTCTGGAATGATGTACTCAGCCAATGCCTCTCATAAGGAAGCAATGCATTGGAGGTGGTCCACAGGAGGTTTACTGGCTTGATTTCTGGAACGAGTGAGTTGTCTAATGAGGAACGGTTGGACAGACTGGGCTTGTTTCCCCTGGAGTTTAGAACAGTGAGGGGGTGGGGACTCGATTGAAATGGATCTGATCCTGAGAGTCCTTGACAAGGTGGACATGTTTAAAAGAGGTTTCCTCTTATGGGGGAGTCCACATCTGGGGTTGGGTGACACGGAATTAAAAACTTGGGCGGCAGAGATGAGAAGAGTTTTTTGCCCAGAAGGTTGTGCAACTTGAGGATGTGGAAGTTATTGGGGAGAAATACGACAAATGTTTGACAAATTTGAATGAAAATATTTTTGAGGAGGTAACCAAAAGTGTTGATGAGGGGAATGCATTTGATGTGATCTTGGACTTGGATACAGACCTTAGCAAGGCTTTTGTTAAGGACTCTAACAGCGGACTGGTCCAGGAAGTAAAAATCCATGGAATCCAAGAAGTGGTGCATTGGATTAAAAACTGGCTGAGAGGCAGGAAGCAGAGAGTGATTGCAGCGAGATGTTTCTGTGACTGGAAGTCTGGTTCCATTGGAGTTTCATAGGGTTCAGTGCTGGGGTCCCAGCTGTTTGTGGTGTACATTAATGATTTGGATTTAAATGTAGGGGGTGTGATTGAGAAGTTTGCAGTTTCACAAAAATTGGTTGGATGTTAAAATAGCCATAAACTGCAGGAGGGTATAACTGCTTTGTTGGGCAGAGCAGTGGCAAAATGAGATTCAACTGGGAAAAGAAAGGGGCAGTGAACTTGGGGAGGTCTAACAAAGCAAGGGGTTAATCTACGAATAGGACCCCAGAAAGTACTAAAGATCAAAGGGACTGTGGTGTGCATATCCACAGATCCCCGAAAGTAGCAGCACAGGTAGATATGGTGGTTAAGAAGACAAGTGGTATATCAGCCAAGGCATTGAATACAAGACCAGGGAGGTTATGCTGGAACTGTATAAAATGCTGACTAGGCCAATGTGGAGTACTGTAAGCAGTTCTGGTCACTAGGACATAGAAAGGATGTGATTGCCCTAGAGGGGGTGCACAGAAGACGAACATGGATGCTGCCTGTCCTGTCAGCTCTGAGCTATGAGGAGAGATTGGACCGGCTGGAGCTGTTTTCTTTGGAGTAATGAACGTAGAGAGGAAACCTGATGGAGGTGGATAAGATTATGAAATGGATATGAAGGCAACGTTTCCATTAGCAGAGAAGTCAATAAGCAGGGGGTATAGATTGAAGGTAAGAGGTAGAGGCTAAGAGGAGAGTTGAAGAGAATGTTTCCAACCTAGAGGGCAGTTGGAGTCTGAAACTCACTGCCTGAAAGATGGCTGAGTCAGAGACTAACAATGAAATAGTATTTAAATATTAACTTGTATTGCCAAAGCCTCCAGGGCTATGGGCCAAGGCTGGAAAATGGGAATAGTTCAGTCAGATCTATGGTGATAGGCAGGGACATGATGGGATGAATGGCCTCCTTCTGTGCTGTAAGTATCTTTGAGTGAGTAAGCTTTGGAACTGTCTGCCTCAGATGGAGTGAAAGTGAGGTCATTAAATATTTTTAAGGCAGAGGCAGATAGGTTCTTATTCAGCAGGTAAGAATATGGAATTCCAAACGGCCACAATCTTAACAAACTGACAAAACTGATGGACTGAATGGCCTGCTTCATCATCACATGTTCCTGAGAGTGTATGCAAAGGGGAAGGAAGGTCTGTCAGGAGAATACTTTCTGTTCCTCTGTCCCTGAAGGGTGCTGCCACATGCTCCGATGATCTAAATCAAGTGATTTTCAAACTTCTGTGCCTGCCTATAGCCATGACCTCCATGGCACTGAAAGCAGGAAAATTGGGTCAGGAAAATCCCCTCATCGAGTTCCAACTTGTATTTACTTCACGCTGCTCAATCAGTAAGACAGATGGAGGACAAGGAATTGAGAATCATTTTTGCAGAAGGACACAGAGTGTAAGTTTGAAGTCAGAGGTTAGGAGGATTCTGAAGAAGATGTGAGACTAACTGGTTTTGGGAGATTTACAGAGGTCACCGACTTAGTGACCTGGCTCAGTGGCAGCAAAGCAATAAGGCACTGCTTTTCATCTTTGATCAATAATATCAATTGGAGACTAGCCTGAAAATGGTGCTGGTCAAACTCGTGACCTCCAATTGTCTATGTATCTCCAAAATTCTTATAATTAATAAACAAACAAACAAACTTTAAAAAAAATATAATTCTCCTGCCCCTCTGAGATTTCTTTTCTTCCCTGGTTTAACTCGAAGCAGCATCTGGGAGACATATCAATAATTCCAGGAGATACGAGGGACCTTCACAAGTCCATCACAAGCAGAAACCCATGAATGTGTTGACAACAGTCACCAAGTCACGCAACTGGGAAACACGGTCCAGTCAAGTCTCCCCTTACTCTCTAATCTCGTAAGCTTTCCTCCGACCAAGCTAACTCCATGTACCCAAGTTGAGAGGCAACTGGCATTTAGAGATCATTTTGGGTCCTTAAACTCAAAGGTACACATGTGCTTGTTGGGTTGGGTCTAGGGTTCAGCATGTTATCCTGAAGGGTTCTGCAACAAGAAAGTTCTTCTTGAAATGAGGGATGCCATTGGAGGTCAGCAAGGATGGAAAGTGAGGAGTTTCTTTCTGGGAGGGGGCCACCAACCGGAATGCACGTTACTTTCTAAACCGTGGGAAAATACACTCAAATAATCCCCTAAAGTTTGCAGGCAGGGGAGTGCAGAGTGGGCAGGTGTGGTCAGGGGAGTACGGAGCGGGCGGGTGTGGTCAGGGGAGTATGGCATAGGCGGGTAAAGCCAGGGGAGTACGGAGTAGGAGGGGGCAGCCAGGGGAGTATGGAGTGGGCCGGTAAAGCCAGTGGAGTACGGAGCGGGAGGATGTGGTCAGGGGAGTACGGAACGGGAGGGTGTGGTCAGGAGAGTACAGAGTAGGCAGGTAAAGCCAGGGGAGTATGGAGTGGGCGGGTAAAGCCAGGGGAGTACGGAGTGGGAGGGTGTGGTCAGGGGAGTACGGAGTAGGCAGGTAAATCCAGGGGAGTATGGAGTAGGAGGGGGCAGCCAGGAGGAATAGAGGGGACAGATAGCAAAGGTTGAAAAACATTGGACAGTGGATTCTGTAGGAAATGGTTGAGTTTTGTTAGACAGCAGGCCCATTTAAAGAAAAAAACAAAATCACTTGCAATTCTACCACCCCTTCCACACAGTCATGGCCCAATAAAACTAATGAAATATTTGTGAAGTGTATTTTTTCATTCATTCAAGCACTGTGGAAGTCTCTGGCTAGACCAGCTTTTATTGCCCATCCCTACTTGTCCTAAGGAAGGCAGCAATAAGCTGCTTTCTTCAACCATTTCAGTCCACATTAATGACCAGATAATCGGTATGTATGATGGTAATTGAGGAATAAACATTGGCCAGCACAGAAGGGAGAACTTCCCTGAGTGGGAGTTAACCCCATTTCTTTCTCACTAAGCCGAGAGTGAGAAGCAAGAATATGTATTGAGGGCAAAGTCAGAAATTAACTGCAAATGGCGAGAGTAAACAGAGTGATGAGAGTGAGAGCGAGGGCAGGAGATAAGTAAGGATTTAATAAATTATTTCGCGCTGGATTCATAGGTTGGACATTTCTGGTCACCTGTCAAAGGCCAAGCAGAAGCTGTGACCAAACATCCAAAGAAGCCGCATCAGTAAACTCCAGAAACATGTGATAAGATTAGGGGTAGGATTAGGCACAGACATGTCGACCCTGCATTCACTACCTCCGGTGAAAGGACTGCTCAATCCTGCATCCAAAGCACCGAGTGCGAGAGCTGGGCATCAATAATAACGCCAGCCAATCCTGTCTCTTGCTGAACCATTCTGAGAGAGCCAGCAAACAGGGGGCCAGACAATCCACGGGGGGTGGAGTGTTGCTTAATATTCAACAAAGAGAGAAGTTAGATGGTAGAAGGAGTGAATGAGGAATTCACCGCATTGGGGGAGCAGAGTTTAAATTAACTTCAGTAAAAAGGGAAGGAAGACTTAGGGTGAACACAGCCTACTCACAGCACTAAGCTAATCTCCCAAAAATGCATTTAATTATATCACCTGTAATGGTAGATGTTATAGAAGGGTGTAAGGGTCTGAAAGGGTTAATACTGGGGACTGCCTTAAGCACCACCTACGTTGGTGATATCAGATGGACCTGTGGGCAGAGCAGTGAGACGTACCAGCCAGATCCTCCTCATGGTCTCAGTAACAACATCCATCACATCAGTGTAACCTGTAACTAGTTGTTAACATGCAATAAACCACAGATTGTTAACTACCAGAGACTCTTCCAGTTAGAGCGGCAAGTTGATTTCTTTGACCACACTGGCGCGAGCAGGTTGTGAGGCTTCCTACAAGTAGGGAGGGTGGTGTCAGCAACCCTCCCCCATAGAGAGGTGCAGCAGACACTGTTTGCAGGGATTATAGTTCTTCTCAAAGCCACTCACCATCCTGACTTGGAAATATATCACCATCCCTCAGTGTCTCTGGGTCAAGATCCTGGAATTCCCTCCCTAACAGCTTTGTGGGTCTACCTACAGCATATGGACCACACCGATTCAAAAAGGCAGCTCACCACCACCTTCTCAAGGGGCAACTAGGGATGGGCAAGAAATGCTGGACCATCCAACAATACCCACATTCGATGATTGAATAAACTTTCAAAAAGTAATTAGCCAAGTTATTAGTGGGAATAACTTTGTAGTGCTTTAGGGAACAAGCAAAGTGAAAATAAGTTAACAGAACTTTCAAAGAGGCAGCACAGACTGGGTGGCTTCTTCTATGGTTTTATGGTCAGGAACAAGGAGAACCTCTGGTCCCACTCTTGCAGTAATGCGCTCACAGTGGTCCCATTCATTGCAGTCAGTCAACATAAGAAACTGACATACTTAGCAGAGGTTGGAGAAATTGGGCTCGATTTATTTGGCAATAATAAATTTGAACTGCTGCAATTAATGTTTCACCAATTTGAATCCAGTTGAACACAGGAAAAAGCTGAACAAGTGATGAGACAGAAGAGTTCCATCACCAATCGAGATCTTCCTGCCCAGGGAGGTGATTTGGGAGAGAAGGTGAGGAAGGGAATGGGTGGGATTGATGGATAATTGCAATAAAGTTAGGATTAAAGAATGCAGGCTTTGGCCTCAAAATGTTAAAACAATTAACAGAGAAGATTGCAACATCTGGGTATATGATTACTGGTAACGGCAGCATTTAATGTCAATTCCAACTTGACCACATAGACCAGACCAGGTGAATACAATAGATTTTCTTCCATCAAGATAATGAGTGAATAATGAGGTGGGTTTTTTTTAAAACAACAAACCAGTAGCTTCACGACAACAGGTTGTAATGCTAACTCTTTACTCTGGAGCAGCAGGGACACATATTTCTACACTGGGCTTGTTTCTCTATAATATTGTACTGGGAAAGGCTCAGATCCCCAAATCAGATGCCCAGTGTTCCATCAAACACTCCCAGGACAGGGGCAGCCCGCGGTTAGGTACAGGGTTAAGCTTTCTCTACACTCTCCCCATCAAACACCCCCAAGACAGGGACACGACGAGGTTAGATACAGAGTAAAGCTCAATCTACGCTGCGTTGCTATAGTACAGTTTACCTGACATTTCCCGTTTGATGGTGATATTGGCCGGACATGAAGTACTTGTGGGTGCTGCAATGCCATGGTTTGTGTAAACCTCCAAATGACTAGTGGAAAGTGGCAACTGGAGGGAGAGAAATAGAACAAGATGTATCAATAATTTGACTGGAAATTTTGAAGTTTTAACAATATTATGTGGATCCTGTCCACAGTAAATGTAGAATATCGTTGTTGCAATTTAATTACCAGCCTCATTGGTCAAGATTTTGTCCACCTTTCCTGGGACCATCTTCTGTAACTCGCTGTCTAACTCTGTCTGATAATAGTTCTGAGAAGCAGCTTGGCATGTTTTACTGCATTAAGGCACCATACAAATGCAAAGTGTTGTCATTATTGTTGCAGTGTCTAACAGGATGAAAGGTTTCACCTCCACCTTACTTTGGCCTGGAGTCTCCCCAACCCCTGACCCAATCCAAACCCAACTGCGACTGGCCCTTGCCCCATTGTTCAATGGGACGTGTAACAAGTAACATCAATAAGATGAACGAGGCCTTCAGGAAGGCAGAGGGTAGACAGTCCCCACTCTCCTCCAGGGCCAGACCGAGTCAATTTCTGCTCTTTTCAGTTTGGGTGCAACGTTTAGCCTCTTGTTGGCAGGCACCTCATGAACTATGGGCAAGGGTTGTGTAGAATCTGACAGAACTGTTTGTGTCACTTTAACATCATTCAGAGCTCAGCTCACTCTCAGAGGACCAGCTGTGCCTTGATGGGTAACACTCAGCACTCACTCAGAGGCTGTGGGTTCAAGTTCCACTCCAGAGAGTTGAGCTCAGGACTTAGGCTGACACCTTGGTACAATACTGAGCCACTGCCGTACTGCTGGAGGTGCCTCAACAAATTCCATGTTAAATCAAGGTGCTCTATGGCCTCACTGATGGACATCTGACTCCATGTTATGTAAATTGTACGTAAACTAGTATCTGTGCCAGCAGCACATCAATTCAGCAATTTTGAACTGATTTCATAGAATCCCCACATTTGGGAACTGGCCATTCAGCCCAAAAAGTCCATGCAGACCTTCTGAAGAGCATCCCACCTCGACCCATCTCCCTACACTATCCCTGCAGTTCCCAAGGCCTACCCACCCAACCTACACATCCAAGTGCAATTTAATACGGCCAATCCACCTACCCTGGACATCTTTGGACTGTGGGAGGAAACCACAGCATCAAGGGGAAACCCACACAGACACGGGGAGAACATGCAAACTCCACACAGACAGTCCCGAGGGTGGAATCGAACTTGGGTTCCGGGTGAGGGAGCAGTGCTAACCACTGAGCCACCATGCCATCCCTGAATGCTATCCAAAGATCAGAGGCATTCGCCCCAATGTCTCAGTCAATGCTTATCCCTCACCTTCTGTTAACGTACTAGTGGCTACTCTTGATCACATTGCTGCTTGCAGATGCTCCCAAACTAACCCAGCCACAGGGACCAGGATCACCTCATGACATGCCACTCAGTCCTGCCCCCAGCACTGGGTCAATTTCCTGGCTTCCATTAGCCTCCCCACCAACCTACAGGGTAATACAGGCAGAAAAAAGTGTTCTGTTTCCACCTGTTTGTTAGGAACTTCACCTGATGAAGGAGCAGCACTTTGAAAGCTTGGGATTTCAAATAAACCTGTTGGACTATAACCTGGTGTCGTGTGATTTCTGACCTTGTCCACCCCAGTTCAACACTGGCACCTCAACATCTTTATTAGGAAGGACTCAGCTCATCACTTGCTCAAAAAGAGAAAGGCAGCATCTGACTAATGGAGGTTCTTAAAATTATCCAATGCTTTGACAAAATCAACATTGAAATAGATGCTTCCACTTTTGACAGACCAGGACAGAGCACACAAACATGGGACAGTCACAAACAGGGAGCTCAGGAGAAACCTCTTTACTCAGAAAGAGTGAGAATGTGGATCCACTCCCACATGGAGTCGTTGAGGTGAATGATGTGAATGCATTTAGTGGGAAGTTTGGTAAACCGGACGGAGAAAGGAATTGAAGGGTATAGTGATAGGGTGGGATGTAAAGGCTGGGAGGAGGCTTGTGTGGAACATAAAAACCAGGAGAGTTCAGTAAGTTAATGGAATAAAAACAGAAAGTCCAGGAGATACTCAGCAACTCAGGAGAGAGAAACAGTGTTAATGTTATGATTCTTCTTCAGATGTGACAGCACCAGAGGGGTTGCACAGGAGATTGCCCAGAATGGAGCAGTTTAGCGAGAAAGAGAGGCTGGAGAGACTGTGCTGCTTTCTTTGGTGAAGAGAAGGCTGATCGAGGGACACTCGCACTGAGGGAGACTCAGAGCATGGCCTTCTTACATGTGATTATAGATAAGCCCTCCCCTGAACAAACCAGCAGAGCCCTGGAAAAGCCTACACCCAGGATCTGACAAACAAGCCACGTTCCAAACTCTCTCATCTCATCGCAGACGCACACAACAATCATCTGTTCGTGCCCAAACTGAGACCAAGCAGCAATAAATAGCTTCATGCAGACTATAAAACTAAGCATACAGTCATATTAACAGCAAACTAATGCTGACAGCAACTAAACACTCCCTCACAATTCACAGAATTGCTTTTGCACCATTTACACAGAATTTCAACTTCAAATCCAACCCTGCTGCTCTCTTTTCAATGCAGAAGATTTTATTTTCTTAGGGATGGGACACTTTCCTTTACCCTCTGATCTTCCTGATTTCTTAGATCAGTCTCTACAATAGTTAGACTATCTGATGGAAACACAGCACCTTCAGGGTGGCACGGTGGTTAGCACTGCTACCTCACAGCGCCATGGACCCGGGTTTGAATCTACCCTCGGGTGAATGTCTGTGTGGAGTTTGCATATTCTCCCAGTGTCTGCATGGGGTTTTGCCCCACAGTCCAGAGATGTGCAGATAGCTGGATTGGCCATTGGAAATGTGGGGTTACAGGGAGAGGGTAGCACGGGTGGGTAGATCATCGGAGGGTCGGTCAGGACGCAATAGGCTAATTTTCTTTTTAAATTCATTCACAGAATGTGGGCATCCCTGGCTAAGATTTATTGCCCGTCCCTAATTGCCCAGAGGGCAGTTAAGAGTCAAAAAACATTGTTGTGGGTCTGGAGTTACATGTAGGCCAGATCAGGTAAGGATGGCAGTTTCCTTTCCTAAAGGACATTAGTGAACCAGATGGGATTTTCCAACAATTGGCATGGTCATCATTAGACTTTTAATTCCAGATATTTATTGAATTCAAATTCCACCATCTACCGTGGCAGGATTTGAACCCAGATCCCCAGAACATTACCTGGATCTCTGGATTAACAGCTCAGCAATAATATCACGAGGCCATTGCCTCCCACACTCTTTCCACACTTTCTGCCTGTTCTATATCAGTTAGATGACACTGACTTCGTCTGAATTCCATCTGTGTGCCATCGCTTTGTAATCCTTAAACACTTTGTCTTCTAAAAAAAATCGACTTGTTCAGAGATGTTAATACACACCTCTGGAGCAGGTCGGACTTGCTCAGAGATAGGGACGCTACCACTATGTGACAAAAGCCCTCTTGTATCCCTTTATATCCTGGGCCAACAAAACTGTCAAAAACTCAGCTTGCTGTTTCCCGTGCCCCCTGTCCTCACACCTCCTCCACCCAGATTCATTCTGGTGAATCAATCTTTCCAACAAATGACAAAGGTGCAGCTTGAGGGGAGAGGCAGCCCAGAATGCCATGCACTTTCTCCCGGGTTTGGGAAGGAGTAATATACAGGTCTGTGGACAAGACTCTTGCTTCTGGAAAACACTTCTTTACAGACGTAACAAACTCAGAAACGTGTCCATTCCTGCTCTGTGTGGCACCCTCTGTTCTCTGGTTTACTACACTTCACAGTCAGTCCAAGGTGAGAATAGATCCACGGGTGGGAGCTGGCACAGCTGTGATGCATTGAATACCTATAGGTGGCAGCGATCACACCTTATGAACAGTCCCTGAGCTGAGCGAGAGATCGGGTCCAGCCATCCCGCCCAGGACTCTCTCACAGACTTAACTGTTTCAGGGAAGAAACATCAGACATTAAGCCAGCTCCACCTGGGTCTTAGACTCCAGGTTAATAAGTCCAAACAGAGCAATTTCTCGAGTCAGTGATCTGCAAAATATCTCCTCAGCACTTTTTTTTTAAAAAAAGCACAAGTCTCCAAGGTAAGTTCTAATCGCACAGCATCTGACCCAGTTAGCTATTTGTTAAAGTCAATAAAACAGTTTAGTGTCTCTAATCTCAGGAAACACATTCAAAACTGCTCATGAACTGAATGGGCTATCAGGTTTTGCACTGTCCACTGAGATTCTCCCAGAGTAGGAAGGAAGTGTCCCTTCTCCTCTGATGACCATTGCAGTCCCGGTCAGAAACGACTGCTCTCTAAAGGCTGATGGAGTGTCTCTCTGAGTCTGTGCTGGGCCATGTCATTGTGCCTGTCAGTTATCTGGTCTCTCTCCTTCTGGTTTCCATTTCTCCCTCACTCTGTCTCTGATGCTCCACATTGTCGTTATTACTAGCTCCATTTCACCTTCTCCATCTCTATCAATCCCACTGCTTTCTCTCTTCTCAGCGCTACCATCCGACAGTGCGGCACTCCCTCGGCGCTGACCCTCCGACAGTGCGGCGCTCTCTAGGCACTGACCCTCCGACAGTGCGGCACTCCCTCAGCACTGACCCTCCGACAGTGCGG